CATCTGAAGGTCAAAGTTCTTCAGGTCAACCGTTTCAAAGATATCAGCGATCAAAAATAACACTAATAAAATATTTCAAATATTTTCAAATAAAATACAAAAAAATATCATATGCCATATTTATATAATTTTTTATGTAAAATCACTTTAATTCTGTTAACCTGAGACTACTCAATATTTAAACTTTATAATATATATAGTAAAAAATAATGTAAAGAAAATTTAGTTACGCCACTGCACTAGTGCTGCATATTCCAACCCCTTTGCGGAAAGGCAGTTGCACGCCGCGGTCTTCCTACGGGTTTCGGGCACTCCGAGCCTGGCACGGAAATGCATGTCATCCTTCTCGGGCTTTCGCCTAATTTATGTGTGCCACTGTTATAAACGATGCAAGGCAACCTTTACAAAATTGACTAAATGACGAATTTTTTTGTATTGTCTACTTATATTTAATAAATTTAATCCAAGGGTTATTTTAGGGGACATAACTGCATGTTTTGGTAGGTATTAAGTGGGTATTATAAAGGGTACAAAATAACGATGAGTTTATCAACATTCATCCAAAAAAAATATATTTTTTACAAAACAGTTTGCTTTTGTAGCCAGGAAAATATTTTGCTCAAAAAGTTTATGTTTTTTCAATGGATCTCCCTATATATGAATTTATTTTTCGATTCCTTGTAAAATCTGAGCATAATTTATATAACATTCACATTCGAAATGTTAACATTAAATGTTTTTTTAAACTGTTAAAAATCAAAAAGCCTCAGTATACCAAAATTTGTATTGAAAATAAATTACTATAGTGACATTATGTCAATATGTCTTGTTAAATAAGTAAAAATGGCGTACTCAGACAGAAAAAGACAAACTATTTCAACTTATCTTAAAAATAATTTAAATATTTCAGAAACGGTTGAATTTAGGTACCTATATAGTATGTTATATGAAATATGCTTAGAATTTTACAAGGAATCGAAAAATAATAGTATATTATGTATCAAGTTTGATAAACGCCATTTTATACACGAATTTAATTTAGGCACGAGCGAGCTTGCGAGCGAGTGCTTAAGTTAATGATTGTATAGAAAAGTTTATAAACGAAGTGCATACTAAACTTTTTCTACGACAAATACTTTTTAATAAAAAGTATTTGTCATAGAAAAAGTTTTTATTATCTTAAAATGATTTAAATCAAAAATTTGTATAGAGCGCCATCTATGAAACAACATGGGAAACTGTCAAATGTCAAATTTTTACATTTTATAAACACAATTATAAAGGTTATAAATCGAAATGTATCTTGAAAATTGACAGTTTTTCACAGTAAAAGTACAGGAAATGTTTTATAGTATGTAGTATAGTTTACTGCCGGCGAAATTAAAAGGTCAGTACAATGTTCATATAAACTTTTCAAATATTAATATTTTTGTATTGAGATAATAAAATAATTTTCACATTTAGTATTATTTTACAAGAAATGCACTTTATTTTAACGATTGTATGACATTTGACAACTGTCAACTAACTTAAAACTAACTTCAGCCCGTGACTAAAAACCTGTTGCTAATTTCAGCCCGTGACTAAAGCGCCGTAAAGAAACAAATTGTCAATGTGTATTTAAAAGGTCACTTAGTGTCATGGAAACATGTACGATAAAAGGCGTTTTAAAGGTGGGAGTAGAAAAATACACAAATAGGGTGATCCATTGAAAAAAATAAACTTTTTGTTTTTCTCTGTATACTGATCACTTTTCCAATTTTCTTTATACGTAGAAAAAAAGTATTTTTTAGTACCTACATAACCATACTTTTTTTGGGACACTTAAAATTAAAAAGTTAAAGGGGGCGACATTATAGGGGATCACCCTGTAAATACATATGTTAAAAAAACAATAAAAATATTTTATTTTTTCTAACTTTAAGTATTATATTAGCTTACAAAAAAGTACATATATTTTCATGTTCATAAAGAAAATGTTCTGCATTTCCTTTTAGTAAACTCCAATGTTGTTTCTAAATTAATCTAAATGAGCTTGTAGCATATAGACTTTCAAAGACATCCTGCAACCCATGGTCATTTAACGTTTTGGATAAAGAATAAAATCACATACAAAATTAAAAAATATTCAATAACTCCTATAAATAAATAATGATATACATATTAATTTTATAATTACCAGATGTGGACCACTTTTGGATCCAATAATACGTCCAGTGGTTAATTACACAGTGCAACAGCAAAAAAAATTATGGGGTTCTGAAAGTTGTTTTCGTTTCTCCTATCCAAAGAATGCCTTTTTGCGTTTACAGAATGTTTAGATTGATTCAGGTTTTTTTTCATATCGACTTTAAGTTTTATTAGTTTTGGAACCCGAAAAATCGTTGTTCATTAATTTAAACCAAAACAACAACAACGCCTGGTCTATAATGTACCATTTCAGGATCTCAGGATTTATTTATTTCTTATGGGACATCAGCTGCCTCGCCTCCTGTCTCGGCAGAAAAATGAGCTTTCTCTCCCGGGTCTATACTGTGTAAATCCAAAAATGGCGAATGTGCCGGGGTTAATAGTTTATGATTTGACTGAAATTTGTATACAGAAAACTAAGGCCTTATTTTTTCATTTTCAGTTTTTAAATCAACTTTAGAATTAATCAGAGATGAGGCATGTTTGACTTTCTATACTTGGTCATGTCACAAATATACATATATCTATACCCCAGAGCGTTTAAACTTTGATAAATATTAACGAATATTTTTGACAAAAAATGTACGCCACTGACTTATAATTTTTAAATTAATTTTTATCGGATTATTCAACTAAAATTACAATTTTTTTGACTCTTGAATGTTTTTCGTATTTTGCTTAGTTTTAGAGAGAAAAAATAAAATCCACTTAAAAGCAAATCTTGTGTATTTGTATTTCTCAAAAACAAAATTTAAGAGACAAAAGTATTTTTAGATGCTTAAATCGAAAAAATATATAAAAATTACATGTACGCCATTTTTGTCAAAAATATGTTTTAAGATGCCTTAATAATAATAAATTTAGCCCCTTAATACTAGAAATAACGGTGCTAAATTACAAAGATATTTAAGATATTAATGGAAAACCAAATAAAAAACAAAGTTTAAAAATCTTGAAAACGAAGCATTTAAAGGGGTCAATGCAAGAAGTACCTGTCCATGTTTATATAAACATTTAGTCTTAAAACCACTAAAAGAATCGCCTGTAATAAATTTATTGTACATACTTAAGTAACACCCTGTGTATATACACTTACAACAAGGGAAATTTTTTATTATTAAATGATAAAAAAATCACAGTAAATAAATCATAAAAACCGAATTAAAAATAAAAAACAAATAAAACATCAAAATTAGCCTAAATTTTAGAGTAACAGTACTTGTGCCGGGGAGTGTATATTTGAATAATATTCTTTGAGTTGTGGGCGTGGTTCAAGTATACTCGATTTTTAACTGACCAATCACAATTCGTTTAATTTGATATTTGTGGTAAAAGGAACACGGCTATTGGAAAGAAAATATTACGAGAAAGCACTGCCCAGAACCAGAAAAATATACGGCACGCCTTTTGACAATCCTGACTTAATTGTTGGCACAACATATTTAAACATCATATGTATATAATGAAATTTGAAACAATATAAACAAGGTAAACCTATTATTTTAAGTTTCGTTCACTAAACGTTTACGCTTTTATATCTTTTTAAAGAAGATATAATTTGTTATCTACTCCTATTGTATACCTAATATTGTTTTTTTTGTGAATAATGATAAACATTAACATTATTCACGTTGTTAGGCATTATTGATTGGCCGATTTCAATATGCACTGTGATTTGAAACAATCGACTTTTAAATTCGAAGAAGGCGATTATGCGCATTATCTCTTGTAGGTATATACTTAACAATTTTCTGGGATTCCTGTGGGGTCTAGATCATACACCTCAAGGTGGTGCGAGTCTTTTGGGTCACCCTGTATATTATATTATGTAATATAATTAATATGCACCTAACAGTTTTGCTGGGAAATTTTTATTTGATCGAGATACGGCAACTTATTGCAGCGTTCGAACTCTACTTACGTTATGAACCATAACCATATAGGTATTAACCGTGTCCCAATAGGAACGCCGGATTTGATATGTTAATTAAATACCTTAAATATTTCTTCAGATTATGCATGAAACAAAATATCCGACAAATGCCCACTATGACTCTGCTGGAACACCCTTCCTCTTTTAATGAAGTTTTGCATGTGCTGCTGAATTTCGCCAATAACGCGTCTAATATCTGCTTTAAGTTGATAAATTGTTGCTGGTTTGTTGACCCAAATTCTGCAATTTTGTTTATTGACATAGCCACTGAGATAAAAGTGCGCTAAACAATATTGTCTTTGCAAGTTTGCAAATTCAACATCTTGTTGGCTTGCCAGATTCAATTAACAAATTTCCGGCGCTTTGCATGAGTAGTACTGGGATTAGATCCTGTGTTAATTAAATTTTGTATGAATGCAAATAAAGATCTTTTGTTAAAATTTGCTGCAAACTGCTCCTTGAAATGGCAATTTGTTGAGAACGATAACGAACCGAGGTTCCAGGATTTTCGGTAACACTTTTCTGTACTGCTGCAATATTTTCAGCAGATCGACTAGTACGACGACATACAGGTATTTTTATGTCCCCAACCGAACCACTTTCCTCAAATTTAATAACTAACCTTTGCACGACCGAAAATTGGACGTTTCGAACGGTTTCTGCATAGCATTTCCAAGACTTATAAAATCGAAATTTTTGTACACTACAGAAATCGTATTTTCAAGGTTGCACTTTGCAAAAAATAGGAACATTTAAATCCGTTGTTCCTATTGATACACCCTTTATAACCATAAAATGGTTCCGACATTGGGTAAATTATGTGTCATATTAAAAAAATCTTAATGAAAAGGTTGAAAATTATTATTATTTCCTCTAGGGATCATTTTCCATTTTACAAACAACATGACGACCGATGGAAAAACTCAGTGCGACATAATCTTTCAATAAATCCGCATTTCCGAAAAGGTGGGAAAGCGGTTCACGGCGCGGGACACTTGTGGACTATCGCTCAAAGGGATGAAAAAAGAGCAAAACAAATCGTAAGTAAACTTCTTAAATAATATTAAACATTTCAATAATCCAAAAATAACAATGACTAAATTTTTTGTGTTTATACCTTATTTTTTGTATGTACATATAACAAATCTTTTATTAGTAGAAAATAATTTAAATAATGTTTTTTTTTTCTAGAAACTTAGAATGCAACAATTTATTCAGACTGCATATAAAGATTTAAAAACAGAAGAGCAACATGCCCTTGATGAGGAATTAAAAGCAGCTACAGAAAGCATTTTAGTGGATGGTTATAACGAAAGAAGGCAAGAAAATGTTGTAAGTATATTCACTGTTTTATTTTGCAAATTATTTTGAGTAAAACAATCATACAGTTCATTAAGAATTATGTATTTATGTAAGGGGTATCTCCATTGTAACGGGTGCGACACTAAAACTGCGTTTTTTCATGATAATAAAGTGTTTGTTCATATATAACAAGATACGTTAATATAAAAAATAGTATAAAAAAATTAGGTATTTAACTCAAACAAAATGTCAATAAAAATTTGTATAGAAAACCTTTTTATAACGGCATGAATAGCGTAACGGGCGCGACCTTAGAAAATCGGCAAATGCGACGAAGTTGGCTTCTAAAGTTGATACTGTAAAATTTTGGATGAAAGCATATAGTAATAATTTTTGTGTAAAACTTGAATAGTAACCTTACACAAGCACGTATTTTAAATGCACAAATATTGTATACTTAATTTTCTAAAATGATCTCAAAATGTAACGGGTGCGACATTTTTATCGAGTATTGAAACTCTTCCGTGTTTATTCTTAATGTTAGCTTCTTGGCTTCACAATGTACGAATATTTTAAAGGTATAAATTACGTCGCAATTAAACTATTTGACTTCAGATATAATTGTTATTTTATTAAATAACACATGATTTTTTGTCATAGTTAAAAAAAAGTTACAAAAATAATATGTTGTAGTAAGTACAGTTGTATTCAATAAAAAAGCGTACAAGAATTAGAATGAGAGAAAACTGTCAAAATAATATTATTGCTTAAAACCGGCTTATCACTGACATAAGTCATTAAAATAATTACTATAGGTTATAAAGAGCATTGACGTCGTAGGTTAATTAAATAATATTACAAAAATTATTACCTTTTAATAATGAAAAAAACAAACATTAAAAAAATTTAATATTTAGTCATGCATCCCTGTTTTTCTATTACTTGAGCCAATCGATTTGGGATGAACTGAATTAAATTTAATACATTATTTGGATTAATATCTTCCCAGCAGTATAGTAGGTATAGTATAGTTGCATAGTTTCCCATAAATCCTCAGATATCCCAAAAAGCAGCATCCTGTTCAGGGGTGGACATTTTGGGACGACCTGAACCAACTTTTTGGTTTAGTAAATCTTCCTGTTCCCAGCGTTGCTTAATTTTTAATATAGATTTTTTATTTCTATCATACCACAGTACGAATTAACCATTCTTCTTCGATTCTTGATACTATTTGAGCCTTTTTAACTGACGAGGCATTTTTATTTTCTACTGTCAGTTATAGTGACTTAAGTCAGTGGAAAGCCGGTTTTACGCAATAATGTTGACAGTTTTCTCTCATTCTAATTCTTGTACGCTTTTTTAATGAATACAACTGTATATAGTAAGAAGCGTTATTATTTTAGAATATTAAATATTTATTATTATTATTATTTGGTATAATTATTTTAATTCATTAAAATTTCGTAAAAAATTATATATTTAAGAAGACATAAAAGGATAAAATGGCGAGTCCATGATTACTAACGGGACCAACAGAAAGAAAACAAAATGTTTTATAAAGATTTTTGAAGGTGTGTTTTTCATATAATAATAATTTTATGATAGATCTCAATAATAAAATTATGTAATAACTATTATAAAATTATTGTTAAGGGAACAACACATCTTCAAAAATATTCATTTTGTCTTCTTTCTTTTTGTCCCGTTAGTAATCATGGAATCGCCCAAAAGTAGTTTTATGAAATCCATAAAATAGGAACTTTCTTATGTCCTTATTTTATTAGCCATTAACAATTTAACTTTTAATTTTTAAAATTTCATTAGAAAAGTGTTTAATTCTTTTATACAAATAAATATTCTTGAAAAATTAAATCAAGTAAAGTAAAATTCAATTTTTAAACTATTTAATGTAATTTTTTATACTTAAACTAATCCCCTATAACGTGGTAGGTATACCGTTAGTGCGTCATTTTCAAGGCACCCTGTATAATTCGTATTTTTTTAATGTTTTAGACCCAGACCAGAGTGGCAAATGGTTTGGAAAAAGAAAGCATTGAAGTGGAGTTTGTGAATATTATTGATGTTCCAACAGGACTTGAAGGTATGTTAAAAATAAATTTAAAACTATTACATATAGAAAAATTTCTTAATTTCGTGATTTTTTTTTATTTCTTATGCAATTAATATTTAAAGGTTTAACACACATTTTTGAGGTTTGGAAATAAAATTTTGCTACATTTTACGCTTTTTCAAATATTTGTAAATGACAAAAATAAATTATTTTTATCTTTATATCCCAATTATTTGTCAATGTTAATGTTACTTAATTAAAACATGATTTTGTTTCATCATTCAGGATCTTTAGGTATGTTTAATAAAATAGTAGAAAGTTTAATCATAGATTTTATATTCGTAATTTTCAAATATTTTGTCAATATTTTTTTATAATTATTATACAGTCTATGATCAGATTTTAATATGTAATAAGTTATCATCCTCAAACCCATCAATATCTAAACTAACAAGTTCATTTAAAATAAAATAATTTAGGTAAAGTGTAGTTTTCGAAAATTGAAAAATACAAAAATAAGAAAAGAAAGTATGTTTTGTTCAATACCCCCCATTTGGGGGCTTATGTCAGGAAAAAACATTTATGTCTCCAAAATATTTATGTACATTAGGGTGGTTCACAGAAGAAAAAAACCTTCTTGAATCTTGCCTCCACATAGCTCATTTTTCTGTTTAACTATAAAATAATATTCGTCCCAATAGAAAAAACAGGAAAGGCTCAGGCTTTATCATGCGTTGATGCAGCTAAGAAATGTTGAATCGTTCATTAAAAGCATTCATTGTATTTGATACAACAGCAAGTTATCGTCGCTTGAGTTTTACAAGGTTTCAACTACATTTTTTGGTACATTTTTCAGTAAAGCAATTTTTATGGTTTGCTCTAAAACAAATATTAGGATGATTTATATTGCAACGGTTTTTGAGTGGAAAAGTCTAAAATAATCTATTACAAACTTGTTTAACATAAAAAACCTGTGAAAATTCTAATAAATTTAAAATGGAAACTAAAAGAACTTTTTGAAAACTCTATACACGTAGTGGTACATGGTTCCTTGTAATCTTACTAATCAAAATAATAAAACACGATTTATAGTGCGAATGTTCAACCTTTTTAAAAGTGATTTAAAATCTTAACAAATTAAACACATTTATGTGATAAAATAAAATATGAGTTTCAAAATTGGAAGTTATTTAAATAAAAATTAGAAACCAACTTGATTTTTAATTTTGTGCTCCACGGTTTAATTTAACAATGCTTTTATGTAATCCTTTTCTTCAATGCACATCCATTTCCAAGAAAATTATGTCCTTCAACTTATCTTCTGGAACTGTAGCTTATATAAATAAAATCTGTCACAGTACTATGGCACGTTCCACTTAAAACTACATAGAATTAAAGATTATCCTGCCATCTTTAGCAAATATTTGCAAACTGAACAATTCAGAATTTTTTTACATACATTGGTGTGCATATCTCAATTTTGACCAAAAGTCTACTTAGAACCCTGTGGAGCTCACGCGACGTGATAGTGGTCTCCACAATGGAGCAAAATCAGTTTTCTTTAACAACTGAAGAGGCAAATAATTTTGAATATTTAACTCTATTTGTGAGCTTGGTTTATGCGAAATATTTAAATAAAGTTCCACTTGGAATTAGACTAACTATCAGCTCTAAGGAATCCTTAAAAGTCATCTTGGTTTATTTGCATTTTTTGATGACATTAGGTAACCTATTTTTAAATAATGGGTAAAAACCTAATTTATAACTAAAAAAAATTATCACACATATTGTTCTTATTATTAAAGGGAAATGCAAAAGTAAAGAATTCCTGAAAATACCACCTGGGTGATTCCACGTCAGATCAGGCAGTTTTTGACCCTCACCCCCTCTGATTTTGACGAAAATCGCTGTATGGGCTTCATATGAGCCCAAATGCACCCGACTGCAAAAGTTTAAAAAAATAATAAAAATTGTGGATTTTATGGGGGGTATCATTTTTTGAAGTTTTCAGATCAGAGGTATATTGTTTTGCTTATATCTTGGGTCCTAATTGACCTAGAGAGTTGTTTGACGTCTTATTTTAATGAAAAAAGACTATAATTTATAATTATTATTTTTTAAATTTGTATAATTTTTCATTAAAATATATTGTTTTGAAAAATTCATTTTTAAATATTTCAAAAACACCCTTTTTTATTTTTTTATATTTTTTTATATGTGAAGAAGCAAACCTTTTTCTACACTAAATTTTGGTGGGGGTTATTTTTTTAAGGGAGATATGATTTTTTTAATATTCGGTATCTTTATACCCAGCGCCAGTGGGCTTGGGTTTGATTCTCGGTACTAAAATATTTTTCATAAAAATACTAAATTTTAAAAGGAAAAATTATTTTAATATAATTTGTCTTATATTTTCGTAGATAACCTGTAATAAATAAAAAAATATACTTTAATTAAAATATTTTCGTTGAACAAAATTAGGTTCATTTTTTTGTTGGAACTCGTGCAAATTTAAGGGATTAAAACAACGTTCAAATTTGGGAATTTAGTTGGCAATCATTTCTATTTTATTCTTATATTAAAAATTTTATAAATATTATTGGTTATATATTGGTATATACTAGTAGTAGTTTATTACTAGAAAAAATTTTGTTATTTTACTGTGAAATAGTTCTTTTTTTAGATACGTTTTTCCAAGTCACACAAGTTCATCAACATTTAATATTTTCTTATGATTATTTTCTATAATTTGACAAAAACCTTAAAACTATTTTAGCTTAATTCATAATAACTTTAAAATATTTAATTTTATAATAAAAAATACTACTCATCGCCAATTAAAAAAAATCATAATCCTAATAAAAAAATGTTTACTTACCGGGTAAAAAAAAATATTTAAATGAACCTACTTTTGTTCAACGAGAATATTTTAATTAAAGCATATTTTCTTATTTGTTATCTACGTAAATGTAAAACTTATAAAACATTATATTATTAATTTTTCCTTTTAAAATTTAGTATTCTTAAGAAAAAAAATACCCAAAAATATTTTAGTACCGAGAATCAAACCCAAGCCCACTAAATAAGAAGTAGGTAGGCGCTAAAGACACCGAATATTAAAAAAATCATATCGCCCTTTAAAAAAAAATAACCCCTACCAAAATTTAGGTAGTGTAGAAAAAGATTTGCTTCTTCACATATAAACTTTTCCAGTCAGGTCCATTTGGGCCCATTTGAAGCACATACAGCGATTTTCGTCAAAATCAGAGGGGGTGAGGGTCAAAACCCACCTCAGAACTGCCATGGGCCATGATTTGTTTGGGATTTATTTTATTCCATTGCTCATATTTTATTTAACCTAAACCATTTAAAAAAATATAATTTTGCTATTTGCCAATAAGCCTTTATCATTCGTCAATTTCAATCAATTTCAAATAGTGATCTATAAGCATTTTCAGATTTTCTTTCACCACCTGTATCAAAACAGCAGATCGTTCAAGAATGTGGACTTGGCAGTGATTTTTTTATAACGGATTTAAATCCAAATGCACTCGGTTTAAATTTGTCCGAAGCCATTGCCGAAGATGGAATTTATGAAGATATGTCTTTTGAGTATTACGAAAACACTTAAATTTAATTTTACTTAATTTTTTAAACAACTTATCTAAGTCACTTTTAATTGATTTGTAGACCACACAATAGGCAAAAATGATGTATTAATGAATGTAAATGTGAATGTGTACTGAAAAAAGATATTTATAATTTTGTCAATTAGTACGTAAGTTGATTTATTATTAGCTTTTATGTATCTTATATGTATAATATTATATTCAAATAAAAAAGTGTCCAATTTTTTTAACTTTTTTATTTCACTTAAATTTTTTTTATATTATTTTATCCTGAAGCGTTGTATAAATTAAACTTTATTGTCGTCCAATTATTTTTACTGACCTCATATATAAACTCCTGGACAAAATTAACGCAACATCATAAATTTGCCACATTTTTTATGCTATTTTTTTGTTGAATTTATGATCCGATTTGAATGATTTTTTTGCATTCTAGGTTGGTTCCTTGACAATGTTATAATTTTCGCTGTTTATGATAAAAAGTTCATTTTCGATTTATAGCGGGTGTAATAAAAATGTAATGTTTTTTTTTCGAAAATTCGTATCACCCTGTGGAGTATACTAGCAACCGAAACATATAGCAGTTGACATTAGACGGTAGGTCCATCTTTCGCCAACATTTATTTTTTGGTTTACTTCATTGTTATTAAAGGAGATACGCCGTTTTATACCGTAACATGTTTTTATAGACTTTATTATTCAAAACAATTATTGTTAAATGTATTCAAGTAGGCTATGGACCTTTTCTGACATTTCAAGAGATGTTTAGATTATTTGTTATCTGTATAATTGTATAATTTCTGCTCGCTTTGATAAATGCATAATACTGCATAAATAAACTATTCGGTCCCAAAAAAGGAACAAATGGCATTACATGTTCAATTACAATGTTTTCTAGATAATAATCGGCGTTCATCGATCTTACACGTATAGGGACTAACTCTGTGCGTCCGTTGAAGCATATTCCTCCCCAAAACATTACAGAGCCTCCACCAGAGGGGAATTTAAGGAGAGATATTGCCACTTGCAAAACTCTCTCCTGACCTTCGCCACTCGAAAATATCGGCAAATCCTCAAAAATTGACATTTGTTTTCAGGTAAAATTTGATTTAGATGGGTAGTTAATAAATGTCTCCACCCTGTATTGAAAAAAAATTTATATAAAATACGTATATTTTGTCATTAATATTAGTTTAAACTTGACGCTTTCAGTTGAAGGTACTTTACACGCGATCACTGCGGAAAATTGTTTATTGTTTAAAAGTGAATATCTTGTGTTTGGTGTGTCCGATTGTTATGCGGTTTGATGAAGCGTGATCTTCAAGGTATGTATAATTCAGATATGTATTTGTTTTTCGTCATCAATAAATTATCTGCCCCAACTCGCCCCCGGCTCTTTAAAACTACATGTTCTTGGGCGCGTTGTGGTAAAAAACCTCGCGATTTTAAGCCTATGTCGCGCGCGTATCTGTGTTTTTGCTTTACAAAATATAAGATTTTTTTTATTTCTGGGTTACGTTCATGATGTTTACTCGGTTCACTCGGATTTAACTCAAAACGTTTATTACAACAGTGGTGTCTAGACTTTCACTTGCGTAAATCGTTCGTGACTATAGTATAGTATAGTATAGTATACTAAGATATTTAACACCAATTTTACATATTTAACCCATCTCTTGTAGGTGCGTTAAAACAACTCCGCATGCGCATTGTAGTGTGTTAATGTCAAATTTGAATTGTGGTTATTTGTGTTGACAATTTTTTTAGCGAATCCAGTGACGGAGATTGTTTAATATAAACTGCTCGTCATAAAAAACGACGCACCAAATTTTTTGGAAAATATTTGAAAGCTCGTTATTGGAAAATTACTCAATCGATTTTGAAAATCTTTGAAAATTCTGAATAGCTGATTCTTTGATTCTTATGTCTAATTTTGAGAATACGATATTTTGCACATAGCATTATACTACAGGGTGTTAAACGAAGAGATGCATTTTTTTCGAAATTTCAAGTTATTCCCATTCATAGGGCAGTCGACTTTGATAGTCGTAATACCCCTCCCTGATATAAGTTGGGTAATCCCTCGGAACGTTTTCGAGATTTTGTGGATATCTTGGCTAACTACGATTATATGCCAATTTTTTAAAAATTGTCCTTATTCCCCAGTTTAGTCCAAAAAATGAGCAATAGTGGATTCTTTGACTTACGTCTAATTTTGGGAATACGATATTGTGTACATGACATTATACTACAGGGTGTTAAAAAAAGAGATGTTTTTTTCCAAAATTCCAAATCCCCATTCACAGGGCAGTTGTGCTTGATAGTCGTAATACCCCTCCCTAGTAACAGTTAGGTAATCCCTCGGGAAGTTTTCGAGATTTTGGGGATATCTTGGCTAACTACGATTATATGGCAATTTTTCGAAAATTCACGTTATTCTCCTCTTAAGTCACAAAAATGAGCAAACTACGGAAGGTATATATTAGTTATCAACACAGAGTTTTAAGGTAGGTAACGTGCTTTCAGTTTATGTACGTTGCGTGATTCATTAAATCTGAAATTTTTTACACGAAAGCAATTTTTTTTTGTGAAATTCAAAATAAAAACGCAAACCAAACAGCATTATTCTCGTAAACGTATGCAGGCTATATTCATGTAATTTTCTACAAACGGTTGACCATAAAAGTTTAAAAAATATGGTGCATATCTGGTTTTGACTTTCATTGCTTCAATTATTGTTGTCATTTTTTTCGTCGAATATGAAAATATTTTTCAAACAGCCAAACACATTAAAAAAATAAAATGACGGATGTAAGGTATGCAAACTGAAATTAAACAATAAACAAAATTAAAAAAACAACTAAAATAAATAAATCAACAAATTTTATAATCTTCACTTACAAAATTATTAAAATGCAGAATAGATAGGTTTTAATCTCATGAACCAACGACAATAAGTGCGTAAATAAAGAAAAACATTCATTTACGCGAATCAACAATTTTAATATTTTGTTGGCCCACCGCAGACACGTATAACATCCGCTACCCTACTTGGCATACTATTGACCAAGTCTGCAATAAATGCTTGGGGAATAGCCTCCCATTCAAATCTTACTGAATTTACCGTGAATTAACCGTGAAATCACCGTGAATTTATCGCAAAAACAGCGTGAGTTCACCGTTTAATTACCGTCTACAAATGTCACAAATGGACGGTATATTCACTGCACATAAACGGTGTATTCACGGTGAATTCACGCAAACGGTGAATTCACCGTAAACTCAAGGCCGCAAGGTACCTTCCGTAGTTTGCTCATTTTTGTGACAAGAGGAGAATAACGTGAATTTTCGAAAAATTGGGGAATAAGGACAATTTTCAAAAAATTGGCATATAATCGTAGTTAGCCAAGATATCCACAAAATCTCGAAAACGTTCCGAGGGACTTATATCAGGGAGGGGTATTACGACTATCAAAGCCGACTGCCCTATGAATGGGAATAACTTGAAATTTCGAAAAAAATGCATCTCTTCGTTTAACACCCTGTAGTATAATGCTATGTGCAAAATATCGTATTCTCAAAATTAGACATAAGAGTCAAAGAATCAGCTATTCAGAATTTTCAAAGATTTTCAAAATCGATTCAGTAATTTTCCAATAACGAGCTTTCAAATAGTTTCCAAAAAACTAGGTGCGTCGTTTTTTATGACGAGCAGTTTATATGTAGGTATTAAATAATGTTATATAAATGTAATTATAATAAACTAAATTAAGCTATTTTATAAAAAGATGTTTTATTTACATTTTAAAAAGAACCTCTTACAGGTTTTAATTAATTTCGACAATTTTTTGATAAAAATGTCCGCCATTTGAAGTCCACCATTTTGAATTTTGGAATTCTGATTCCAGATTCATTACCAGCGACCACAAAAAACCCTGTAGGTATGGTGATTTTCAATTTATTCCGTCAACTTTTTGACAAATATGTCCGCCATTTTGGACCTACCATTTTGAATTTTAGAATTCTGATTCCAGATTCGTTATCAGCGACCCCAAAACCCCTAAATGGTGATTTTCAATCTATTCCGTCAATTTTTTGACAAATATGTCCGCCATTTTGGATCTACCATTTTGAATTTTGGAATTCTGATTGCAGATTCGTTATCAGCGACCCCAAAAACCTCTATATACTGATTTTTAGGAGAATCCGACTACTCCTTGATATTTTGCCGAAAATTTCGAGAATTGAAACACTGTGCGTCAGGAGAATTGAGACTAACTCTCATTTCATCAGAAAATAAAACCTTTCAATCATTAACAGTCCAATGTTGATAATTTCTGGCAAAACGCATTTCTAAGCTCACTTTTTAGCCTAGTATTAGTATTCTTCCTGTTTCTAGAGCAGTTTGCCTAATAAAACGCTCATCCCTTGGATAGGTACATCGTTTTCGCCCTTGTCCTGACCTTGAAGAGTAAGATGTCTCGTTAAATCGTTCCATACGACTTATAGTCGATCGATGTCTTCCTATCACATTAGCAACATGACATCGAATAGCCCTTATCCACCAAAGTTAAGACTCTTTCTGCTTCTTCTGTCGATAAATTTTTTTAACGATTCATTTTTCAAGATTAAAATACGAAACGAACATTTAATAAGCAGTTTTGTAAGTATGGCGAATTTTCCATAGCCTACTTGAAAACATTTAACAATTAAAGTTTTGAATACTAAAGTCTATAGAACATGTTACGCTATAAAACACGTATCTCCTTTAATAACAGAGATAATGAAGTAAACCAAAAAAAGAATATGTTGGCGAAATATGGACCTACCGTCTAATGTTAACTGCTATAGGTTTCGGTTGCTAGTATACTCCACACTGTGGAGTCCACATGGTGATACGAATTTTCGGAAAAAAACATTACATTTTTATTAAAAATTATGACATTGTCAAAGCACCAACCTACAATGCAAAAAAAAAATCATTCAAATCGTATCATGAATT